GGTGGTTTTTTTGGGGATGTTTTGTGGTTTTTTTGCAAAATATGCCATCAAATAATTAGGGTTGCCAGCTGCAGGCTGGGAAATTCCTGGAATATTGGGGTGGATGTTTTGTGGTTTTGTTGCAAAATATGCCATCAAATAATTAGGGTTGCCAGCTGCAGGCTGGGAAATTCCTGGAATATTGGGGGTGGAGCCCAGGGAGGGCAGAGTTTAGGGAGGACAGGGACCTCCACAGGGTATAATGCCATAATGTCCATCCTCCAAAGCAGCCATTTTCTCCAGGGAAACTTATCTCAAAAGTCAAGAGATCAGTTGTAATTCTGGGAGATCTCCAGGCCCCACCTAGAGATTGGCAGCCCAGCATACAAAGTTTTAGCTGGCTCACAAGTTTCAGCTTCCTGCCCAGAAGCCTTTTCCCCTCCATTTACTACCTTTTTATTATGCTTTTCAGTATGATTTGTAAGCTGTCTTGAGGCACAGGGAAACGTGGGATATAATTATCTGAATAAAGAAGTATTTGGGGCACATTGATAACATTTAAACAGGGACCTCCGCAGGGTATAATGCCATAATGTCCATCCTCCAAAGCAGCCATTTTCTCCAGGGAAACTTATCTCAAAAGTCAAGAGATCAGTTGTAATTCTGGGAGATCTCCAGGCCCCACCTAGAGATTGGCAGCCCAGCATACAAAGTTTTAGCTGGCTCACAAGTTTCAGCTTCCTGCCCAGAAGCCTTTTCCCCTCCATTTACTACCTTTTTATTATGCTTTTCAGTATGATTTGTAAGCTGTCTTGAGGCACAGGGAAACGTGGGATATAATTATCTGAATAAAGAAGTATTTGGGGCACATTGATAACATTTAAGCAACTTCCTGTTTATTAGGTTAGGCAGGGTTCTGACAGTGATTGTTCCACCTTTGTTATACTTGACCCTGTAAATTTTTCATATTTCACTAAAAACCAAAGCAAAATCCAAAGTGGACTGCAAGAGTCACTTCCCCAAGTACTGGTATGTTTTCTAAGGCTCAGCACATGGTGACGGTCCAAGGCCAGGTCTACCAACATACTGGATTGGGGTGGGTAGACCTGTTCTCCAGAGGCCAGGTCTACCAATATGGTGGACTGGGTCAGGTAGACCTGATCTCTGGATGCTAGATCTACCAACATAATGGAAAGGGAAGGGTAGACCTGTTCTCCGGAAGCCAGGTATACCAATATAGTGGAAAGGGGCAGGTAGACCTGTTCTCCAGAGGCCTGATCTACCCCCATCGAGGACAGCATTTTCCGTAATGAAATTTGACTTGATTCCATGTTCTCCTATAATGTTTAAATTATTCTTAAAATATAGTTTAGATATAGTTTAAAAGAATTCATTCTGAGATTTTTACAAGGTTATGGAAATAATCTAAAAAACTAATTTCTGCGATAGTCAAATGTAGACTCGCTCAGAAGTTGAATGCTACTAGCTTTCTTCACTCCCAAAGTGGAATTTTTGCTCACAGCACTGTGGAGCTTAGAGGAAACCTTGGTTGCAGGTATATCCAATTTTTAAGAAGTAAATACAGTGTAAATACTCCTTTCTTGCAGGTATGTCCAATTTTTAAGAAGTAAATACAGTGTAAATACTCCCCCCCCCCCGATAAAACCCAACACTTTCTGAGTCCATGTTCCCATTTACAGCCCTGTTCAAAAAGAAATTGCAAGTAGATAAATAGGTACCACTTCGGTGGGAAGGTAACAGCGTTCCGTGCGCCTTGGTGTTTAGTCATGCTGGCCACATGACCACGGAAACGTCTTCGGACAGCGCTGGCTCTTCGGCTTTGAAACGGAGATGAGGACCGCAACCCTAGAGTCGGATTCGACTGGCTTTCGAGCAAGGGAACCTTTACCTTTACCTTTTTTCAAATCATTTGGAAATAAATCCCAGTGAGCTCCATAGGCTCACTCTCAAGTAACTGTGCATAAGATTGCAGTCAAACCCCGTTCTATATTTGCATTTCCCGTACCCCTTATGCAAATGTACAATGGCTTAAGTAGACATTTGGTTTATATACACAATGACTTTCTTCTGCTGTCTCTCACACATTTGCATTGTGCACACAGGCAACATGACTGTTGCAGGTGACTTGGGAAATACTTTATTTAGATACTTATACCCCACATTTCTTTGTTTATCATGAAGTGCCCTTACGTTTTCTTGGGAGAGCCAGTTTGCTGTAGTGGTTAAGAGCAGAGATTCTAATCTGGGAGAACCGGGTTTGATTCCCCACACCTCCACATGCAGCTGCTGGTGTGACCTTGGGTCAGTCATAAGTCCTTTCAGAGCTGTTCTCTCGAGGGCAGTTCTCAGGAGAGCTCTCTCAGCTCCACCTACCTCACAGGGACCGATTTCCCACAAGCGCTGCTCCATGCTCACTCTTCCCTTTTGCTCCGATGGTATGTGTCAATTTCACACAAGCTGCTGTGAGGCTGCATTTTGCCCCGCAGCTTCACGTGATTTTCCACACGTCTACTCATACCCGTTTTTTGAAGATTGAGTAGACGGGGGAAATCGCAAGAAGCTGCGGGGCAAAATGAGGCCACGCAGCAGCTTGTGTGAAATTGACACGTACCATCGGGGCAAAGGGGAAGAGTGAGCGCGGAGCAGCGCTTGTGGGAAATTGGCCAGGGTGTCTGTTGTGGGGAGGGGAAGGGAAAGGAGATTGTAAGCCGCTCTGAGACTCTTTTGGGTAGTGAAGGGCAAGGAACAAATCAAATCTCTTCTTCTTCTTATGCAGAGGGTGACAATTTTTGCCAATTCCCTCTCCCACTGCAGACCCCCACTATGTTGTTCCTGAACGTCTGCTGACCCTCCTAAAGAGGGTTGCCAGCCAAACTCCCCTTGCTTTGCTGGGTTACACTTACCTTCTCATTTTACAATGGGCAGCAGTCAGCACCCAGGACTTGTGGACCAGGGTACCGCCACATTTCATGGAAAAACCAGAAAAAAGAGCCGCCTGCCATGGCTGTGAATGGGGGGTACATGGCTTCCCACCAGATATCCGCACATCATCTGCAGTGGCTAGAAGATCATACACCAAAAACAAGCAGTGTTCAGAGGAGATGTGGAAAATCAACATAAGTGAGAGCATTCATTTGTGATGTTGCACATGTTATGTTTTTATGTCTGTCAGTCAGTCTGTCTAAGGGGCTATCTGAATTAGAACAAAGACTGATCTGTCTGCCTGCCTGCCTGCCTGCCTGTCTGTCTAGTGTTGCCAGCAGCCACCAAGACTAGGCATTTCACAGCACCACTTGGTGAACATGAGAACATAAAAGAAGCCATGTTGGATCAGTCCAATGGCCCATCCAGTCCAACACTCTGTGTCACACAGGGCCCAAAACCCAGGTGCCATCAGGAGGCCCAGCAGTGGGGCCACAGCTCCAGAAACTCTCCCACTGTTGCCCCCCAAGCACTAAGGATACAGAGCATCACTGCCCCAGATTTAGCGTTCCATCTATACCTTGTAGCTAATAGCCACTGATGGACCTCTGCTCCATATGTTGATCCAATCCCCGCAACATTGCTACTTTTGATGGTGTAACCAGAAACGACCGCCGCCTGAAGCTATAGCCATCTCTTCCCCATTTCCCCCTGCTGCTGAACTTGGCAGACACTGGAAGCCAGAGGCTGGGGGCAAGAGGCAGGAGATCTGGTCTGCCTATATCTATCTACTATATTTTTGATCCTGTGTTGCCTCCAAACAATTATGTACACATTGCAAACACTGTGTGTGGAACAAATTTTAAAGAGAAAGAGATAAGTGTGTGCAGAGTTCCTCGTCACGTGCACGCTTTTGAAAACCTGTTAGTCTCTCCAAATCTTTAAAGCAGGAGGAAGATGGCTAAGATGAAGCAACATGCAGTGAACTTCATTTGGGCCATACAAGTGGTGTCATGGCGTCTGCACATCTGTTCAAGTGTAGAATGGGGACATCTCTGTTTTCTTCCCTTTTTAAATATTTCTGGTCCATGGCTGTTATGATTCCATGCCCACATGATCCTACTGGTCTTTCCACACTGATTAGTTGGGGTGTGTGTGTATATAAATATTAGGAAACGCCTTCTAATGGTTTTCACATGCACACACAATGCATAAATTGAGCACGTCCCATTCAGCCATGCACCCAAACATATCCACCACACCTAAAATGGCACATACACTTCTGTGCCCACCCTAGAACTTACCAGCAGAGAGCAGGAACAGTAAAGCAGTTAGAAACTCAGTGATAATAGAAAACATCATAGTTGGTAAGTAGTTCTCTCCTGGAATAAGATTTCCTGTTGGAAAGAAGATTGGAAGGAAATCATCTCTTTGTTCCAGGGGCTTCAAATGCAAGGACAAAAAGAAAGAGAGGCAAAGAACTCCAAATGGGATACTTCTTTCTCAGCACCAGGTACATCCCAGCAAAAGTGAGAAGGAAATCGGCATCACTGAGAAATGTTTCTGTGCATTGTATAGATAACAGAATTCTGGTCTGCATCATTTCAGATTGCTGTCAAGGGTCCTATTTAGGAACACTTTCTTATGTAAATATAGGTCCCCGTAAGTAGTAAACTGGCATATCACAAAGAAAGATTAAATGCTTTCCCTGAACTAGTTTACCAGATGCAGAGATGATGTGGAATTACGAAGCAATGGGGGAAAACCCACACTCATGCCTGTGTTCTGAACTTGCAGACTCCAAAATCTATCGCTTCATTAGGCATCATGTAATTTAAAAAAAAATCTGTGCCACTTTTCTGCCAGTATATGGCACTGAATGTAGTTTGCAGGCTTTCAAAAACAAAGGAACAACCGTACGTAAGTGCCTTAAGAAAGAAAGAAAGAAAGAAAGAAAGAAAGAAAGAAAGAAAGAAAGAAAGAAAGAAAGAAAGAAAGAAAGAAAGAAAGAAAGAAAGAGACTTTACCCTGCACCTAGAAGGTGCTTAAGCTGGTCCCAAGCAAATAACCCTTTGCAAGGAGTTCCATAGTTCCATCATGCATAGAACAATTCAGTTAACAAATAATATGATGGAGAATGAGACAAATTCCAGCCCATTTGGCTAGTAATATTTATTGATCCCTCTCTGGTGAGTAAACTAGAAATTCTCTCCACTAACTCTGCTGGCAGAGATCAGGATCATATCCTAATTCATTAATAATGCTACCAGAAAAAATATATGATAAACACTCCTCTGGATCCATCCATGCCAATCTCATCCTACAAGGTACATACCAAGAACTATTAAACATCCGGAGAGCACAGAAAGGTGCTTGCGCTTGTTATATTTACGGTCCAGAGGCAATCGGAAAGTTGTATCCGTTAAACCCCTTGCAGCTCCCGGCTGGGAAGTTATGGCGGTGGGAGAGCCGGACTTAATCCTTGTCTGGAGGCTGCATCCTGGGAAGAATTTGTTACCTGGCCTGATCTGCCCAGAGATTCACGTCAAAAGCTGCTGATATCTCAACTCAGACAGTCAGAACAAAGAATCGGTTATATTATCCATCGCCCTACAGATAAAATCCTAGCAGGGTTCTGAACCCTTGAAACAATGTGATCCTCTTTGCCTTGGGAAAGAAGACATCCGGAATAATAGCTCTTGAAGCACTCTGGAAACACAGAAGTTGAAGAAGAGATTTCTTACCCCCCAAAAGCTGCAGGATCCTGGGTCCTCCTGTCTCCTTCCCCTCCTGGCTTTTTATTCCGAGTCCAGCCTCAGTTGAGTGAAGTTGGGTTTATCAGGAAGTACCCATTGACACCTCCGCCTCTATCTTTCATATCCGAGTGACTAGGACCCAGTCCATTGTTTGGATTATTTGAACTTCCTGATGATATAATAGGTAATTGTTGGAGAAGGAGGAAGATGCCCGCAAAAAAAAAAAATCTGCTCTGCAGAGCGACGACTCACACAACCTCTTTCTGCTGGTAACAGAGTGCTTTTCTCTCCTTGCATAAGTTGTCTGAATCATTGGTCACAGCTGCCAATGATTTCACTGCTGGAAATCTTCCTAATGTGACTAGTGTGCTAGCAGTCCCTTCCTTGAGGCTAGATGAGGTGGCTGCCTCCAGGAGTGGATTTCAGGGGACCGTATTTATCCATCCATCCATCCATCCATCCATCCATCCATCCATCCATCCATCCATCCATCCATCCATCCATCCATCCATCCATCCATCCATCCATCCATCCATCCATCCATCCATCCATCCATCCATCCATCCATCCATCCATCCATCCATCCATCCATCCATCCTAGGCACTCATAGGCTGTAATCTTTGCCCCCGGTGGCAATGGAAGTGGTATGCAGAAGGGAACCCTAACACAAGTGTGAAGAAATGCATTTTGTCTTTGGAGATTTGAAATGAGCAAAACCTTCACTCTGAGTTTTATAAGTTTGTTTTTCTCTCTGGGCAGAGAACAGGCAGGAAGGGGGAAAGCCAGTTCAATTGCTTTCCAGATTTACCTCAGCCCACCTTCATACAAATGCTAATAGGTCTAGACAATGGGGTGGTCAAGATCCCCCCCCCCCTTCAAGCAGAGAACAGAGATGTGGAGGTGTTCAATACTAGAAAGACTTCGGGAAAGAAACTCTGGAAACTTCAGGAAAGGCTTCTCTGACCTGGCCTGACCTGGTCAGTGGGTGGGGGAAAGAGAGGTGATAAAACTCAGGGGAGCAAGGAGAAACCTCTCTTTTGTGCTGAGTCCATCAGAGCAGACAAAACTCTTAACTGAGGTCTGGAGGAGGCAGCCATTTGACCATGTGCTGGCCTGGAGAGTGGCCTGGAGAAAGCTTCAAGGTAATGGTACTCTATAGAGATCTGTAACTGCCTAAGCTAAGGAGTCTGTCCTATATTTTAACATCTGATAGGGCATGTATAGAGAGAGGGCCAGAGGAATTGCATTTACCCATTTCTTTTGAATCCTTTGCTCAATCTGGTTCTGTGCTAAAAGTATGTTTGTGAACATTTTCTCTTCAATACTTTATAACTTTTGATGCTGGTAGTTGTACCACATAGACCTCCACCATCTTGGACACACTGTTTTAAAACACAAATGCCCAGAGAATTAGAGAGACTTTTCCGTCCCATTGATGGGCAGTTCTGGTGACATAAATGAAAGATTTAGGACAGATTAATGACGGGCAGAAAGCGTCAAACTTGGCTGAGCAGTGCGATAGGATACCAGCCACTTTCAACAAAATATGCTTACAAAAAATAAACACAAATGCCCAGAGAATTAGAGAGACTTTTCCGTCCCATTGATGGGCAGTTCTGGTGACATAAATGAAAGATTTAGGACAGATTAATGGAAGTACTGTTTTGCTTAGTGAGTAATTAAATCATGCCCTGATCTGGATTGCCCAGGTTAGCCCAATCTAGGGTTGCCAGCCTCCAGGTGGGGCCTGGGGATCTCCCGCTTTTGCCACTGATCTCCAGCCGACAGAGATCAGGTCCCCCTGGAGAAAATGGCTGCTTTGAAGGGTGCACTCTATGGCCTTGGACCATGCTGAGGCCCATCCCCTCCCCAAATCCCGCCCTCTCCCGGACCCACCCCCAAAGTCTCCAGGTATTTTCCAACCCAGACCTGGCAACCCTGGCCCAATCTCATCCGATGGGACGCCACCAAGGAAGTCCAAGGTCCTTGCCTACCCCTGCCCAGCCATCCAGGCCAAGAAACTCTCCACCTTTGTTGGAGATGTGCCACCCAAGAAGGCAAAGGTGGATGGAATCAGTGAAGAAGAGCCATTGCTGGTGTTGTCCACAGGGACTCTTGGTCACTTGGTTAACAACTGCCTTTCTGGTAACGCAGTGGGCTCTAAGTATTTATATTTGGCCTTCCAGGTGGTCATTTCTCTCTGCTTGGTTCCTTCTGTGTTGATAACAAGGAGGCTTTTTTTTTTTTAAGATCAATATACTCCACAACAAATACACTTTGTCCTATAATGGTTTTTTTTGCCCTGAACTGGGTGGCCCAGGCTAGCCTGATCTTGTCAGATCTCAGAAGCTAAGTAGGGTAGGCCCTGGTTAGTATTTGAATGGGAGACCATCAAGGAAGTCCAGGGTTGACAGGCAACGGCTAACCACCAAACCCCAGAGGGTCGCCACAAGTCGGCTGCGACTTGATGGCACTTAACACACATGTACACACACAATTAAATTGTGGAATTCACTGCCAGTAGATATAATGATGGCCACGAGCGTAGATGCCTTTGAAAGAGTCTTTGACAGATTTGCAGAGGAGAGGGTCATCAATAGCTACTGGCCATGACGACTAAAGGCTCCCTCCATCACACCAGCAGGCCAAATTGTTGGTCACCTCCAGAGGTCGATTCGGGGGGGATCGCGGGGGATCGCAGTTCCCCCGGGTGAGGTGCGGGGGGGCACATGACGAAGCCCCGCCCCCTGCTTCCGGCCGCCCCGCTTCTGGCCCTCATTCAGCCAGGAGGAGGCAGGAGAAGAGGGCGGGTAAGTTGCTTCCTCCCCGCCTCTCCCCACCCCTGCCTGCCTGGGGCCAGGGAGGGCCTTGGCGGGGCTTCCTCGCACTCCCGCTGGCCCTGCAGGTCCACCGCCGGGCCCCTGATGTCAGGGGGTGTGGCATATGCTAATGAGTTATGCTAATGAGTTCCCCTAGCTCTTTTTCTACGAAACGACCCCTGGTCACCTTTCTTCTGTTCGCTTTTGGCAAGTTGTGGTTAATATTTCGTTGTAAGCCCCCATTGGTTTTTCTTTTGAAACAGAAAGGCAGGATATCAATAACTAAGAATTTTGTTTGTGTGTGGAAGGTTTCCTCAGAACACACACCGCACTCATGTCAGTTGTGAAGGAGTGCTCAGCGATGCTAGGCCTCAAAACAAAATGGTTTTCATTTTTTTAAAAATATACAGAATGGTGCCAAACTTCAGGTGGAGAGGACAGGTGAGATAGTTATGGCCCTAAATATGTCAGCCAGACACACAACCACATTCCACTTGCTCATGGGAGGAAGGATCAGGTAACTAAGATATAACTTGAGTGAGGGAAGAAGCTGAATTTTATACTGACTTTTCTCTACCCTAAGGGGTCTGAAAGCGGCTTACAATCAACTTTCCTTCCTCTCCCCACAACAAGGACCTTGTGAGGTAGGTGGGGCTGAGAGAGTTCTGAGAAAATAGTGACTGGCCCAAGGTCACCCAGCAGGCTTCATGTGAAGGAGGAGTGGGGAAACAAACCAGGTTCTCCAGATTAGATGCTGCTCTTTAACCACTACACCATGCCAGCCCC